GTCTTGAATTCCAATGAGTAAAATTAAATTAGCAAAGTCACCTTGCTAACAAAGTAAAAAATGCTTTCTCAAATGCAAAAAACTAATAAACTTGAAAGGAAAAAATAATCATCCTTGCTGTCAAGAACTTAAGATTTAAGCAATATGATATATCACTTTGCACCAAAGACTGATGGGGAAATTTGCTAAGAAGTGTAATAAAAGATATTTAAAATACTGGAAATATCTTTAGTGATCAACTACAGGGGACTGTTTGGATAAATGATGCCATTACTATAGAAATAGTCCAGCTTTCTGACACATAGCAAGTAATTGCAAAGACTATGGCCTGGATCACGTGCACCTTGGACTCCAGACTGGCATTGCTGTTCTTCAGTACTCTGGAGAGGTCCCTGACTGCAGACTTTCCCAATGCATTTTGTCTTTTCATTTCCTGGCTGCTGGTACCAACAGTGTTGATTGTGGATCCAAGCAAACTAAAGCTGTTAACTATCTCAATCTCTTCAACATCTATCATAATGCTACCAATTGACCCAATGGTGAGAATCTTTGTTTTCTTGATGTTGAACTTCAGTCTATATTGAATGTTGCAGCCCTTGACCTTCTGCAGCAAGTACTTCAGGTCCTCCTCAGTTTCAGCAAGCAGGGTTATGTCATGGGCATAATGTAGGTTGCAATGAGACAATGACTAGGAATGATAGAAAAAGAATTGATGTCATTAAGCTGTGGTGCTGGAAAAGAATATTTAATATACCATGGACATCCAGAAGAACAATCAGATTTAACCTAGGGAGGGTGAAACCAGGCTGCTTCTTGAAGGCAAGGATTCTGAGGCTTTGTCTGACATACTTTGGGCATGTTGTAAGCAGGAACCAGTCCTTGCAGAGGCACATCATGGAAGGGTGGAGCGACAGTGCAAGAGAAGAAGACCCTCGAGGAGATAAATTGATTCAGTGACTCAGGTAATGAGGGTAGGTGTGTCAGAAACAATAAAGATAGCACAGGTTAAAAAGGATTTAGGGCTGTTGTATATATGGTCACTAAGAGTAGCAAGCAACTCAATGGCACATAACAACAGCAACAACTACAGGAATATTATTCGGACTGTAATACATTTGGGGGCGGGGGCAGAATTTTTAAACCAAAGCAAATTCTTACAATGTCATACTGAGTGGAGGAAAATGAAATATAAAATTTTAAACATATTATTATTTAGATTGCATGATTGTATGTACTCGGAAGGAAATACTAACAACAAATCAATCCGTGTAAGTGCAGGGTTTGCTTCTATGGTACAGATATATCTTTTGCTTTTCTTTATTTGTGTCTGTTTTCTAAATATTCTACAATGATGCTTCTTTGCTATTCAAAAAATTAAAGTCACAGAAATAGATTATTTCTAGAACAAACTATCAATATCTCCAATAGAATACAGAAGAAGTTTTATGACATCCTGCTGTATGCTTGCTTGGTATCACCCAGGCCTCCCAGATGATTAGCCTTCTTCATTAACAACATAGAATGTTCTTACGTGTTTCCCTGCAGGCATGTACTATACTGATTACCCACTATCATGAACAACCAGAGCTGCCAAGAACAATTCCTCTTACTGGGTTTCTCAGATAAACCCAAACTAGAAAAGATTCTCTTTTTGTTTGTCCTCATCTTTTACCTCGTGACTTTAGTGGGCAACATTGTCATTATCTTGGTCTCCCGCTTGGACCCGAGCCTCCATACACCTATGTACTTCTTCCTCACTAATTTATCATTCTTAGATCTCTGCTTTACCACCAGCTCCATCCCCCAGCTGCTTTTCAACTTGGGCGGCTCAGACAAGTCCATCAGTTACACTGGTTGTGCCATTCAGCTCTTCATGTTCCTGGGACTGGGTGGCACTGAATGTGTCCTCTTAGCAGCCATGGCTTACGACCGCTTCACAGCCATCTGCAAGCCCCTTCACTATACTGTCATAATGCATCCTCAGCTTTGTTGGGCGTTGGTGTCTGTGGCCTGGGGGGTTGGGCTCCTTAACTCCCTGGTTATGTCTCCAGTGACAATGAAGCTACCACGATGTGGAAGATGTAAGGTTAAACATTTTCTCTGTGAGATGCCAGCTCTGATAAAAATTGCCTGTGTGGACACAGTCGCAGTGGAGAGTACTGTTTTCATCTTATCAGTGATAATTGTCCTAGTGCCCTTGTCCCTTATCCTCATCTCTTACAGCTACATTGCTTTAGCTGTACTAAGAATCAAGTCTGCTGCAGGAAGAAGGAAGGCTTTCAACACATGTGGGTCCCATCTCACGGTAGTTGCTTTGTTTTACGGGAATATTATCTATATGTATATGCAACCAGGAAACAATTCTTCTCAAGACCAAGGAAAATTCCTAACCCTCTTCTACAATTTGGTGACCCCTATGTTGAACCCTGTTATCTACACATTGAGAAACAAGGATGTAAAGGGTGCACTTAAGAGGCTTGTGTCTAGAAAATAAAATGGCAGTAACTATCTCTCTAAGGTGGCTACTTCAACTTATTTGATGGAACTAATTCCTGAAGTGAAGTTTTAAAATTCATTTAAATATCTTCATCTACACAATAAGAACCTTCATGAGTGAGACTTGGGAAAATATGATAATGATTAGCTTGAATATAGGTAAAACTGAATTTGCATAACTTCAAAAGTCTGATATGTCAAAACTTTTTTTTCTCTTCCTTTCCAAGTTGGCCATAACTATGTAAAAATGCAACAAGATCATAAATTGATGCGACAATATTGTGGATCAACTAATATAAATTATATCTTAAGAAAATCCTATTATGAACTTGTTTTTAATCAATATTTTGAATAGATATAATTTTATCATTCATTTAAGGAAACAGAATATCAACATATTTACATTACCTTCTGTTTGACAGGCAGATAACAATTATCTAGAGAGATAAAGCCTGATAGATAGAACCTATGACACAATTTAAATTATCTTAACTTAAACACTGTTTAATTGCTCAACTATATTTAAATTATCTGGAAACCAACCACTTGGCCAACTGACTGGAAGAGATCTATATTTGTTCCCATTCCAAAGAAGAGTAACCCAACAGAGCTTGGAAACTATAGAACAATATCATTGATTTCACATGCAAGCAAGATTCTACTGAAAATTATCCAAAAACGACGGGAACAGCATATCAGCAGAGGGGATCATGGTACTATGGATATTGCAGCAAATGTTAGATGGATCTTAGCTGAAAGCAGGGAATACCAGAAGAATATCTATCTGTGTTTCATTGATCATGCAAAGGCGTTTGACTGTATGGATCATAGCAAACTGTGGCTGACTTTGAGAAGAATGGGAATCCCAGAACACTTGATCATGCTAATGTGAAACCTATGCTTGGACCAAGAGGCAGTCGTCAGAACAGAGCAGGGCAACAATGCATGGTTCAAAATTGGGAAAGGTGTACGCCAGGGATGTGTCCTATCTCCATACATTTTCAACCTGTATGCAGAACAGATTATCCAAGAGGCTAGGCTCTATGAAGAGAAATATCAGGTCAGGATTGGTGGAAGATCTATCAACAATCTGCGTTATACAGATGACACAAACCTGCTTGCTGAAACTCAGGAGGAGTAAATGCTTGCTGAAGAGGGTCAAGGATTGCAGCCTTCAATATGGATGTAGGCTCAATGTCAAGAAGACAAAGATTCTCACCACTGGACCAATCGGCAGCATCAGGATGGATGGTAAAGAGATTGGATTGTTAACAACTTTAGTTAGCTTGGCTCCATGGTCAACACTCTTGGCACCAGCAGCCAGGAAATCAAAAAATGTAATGCAATGGGAAAGTCTGCTATTAGGGACCTCTCCAGGGTATTGAAAAGCAATGGTGTCACTCTGGAGACTAAGGTACATCTGATACAGGCTATGGTCTTTGCAATCACTTGTTATGCATCAAAGAGTTGGACAATGACTAGGGAGGATAGAAGGAGAATTGATGCCTTTGAGTTGTGGTGCTGGAGAAGAGTATTGAATGTACAATGGACTGCCAAGAAAACAAATTCATCCTGCAGAAGGTTAAACCAGGCTGCTCTTTGGAGGCAAGGATTCTGGGGCTTCATCTGACATACTTTGGACATGTTGTAAGGAAGGATAGATAGGTCCTTGGAGAGGGACATCATGCTTGGGAGGGTGGAGGGACGGCATAGGAGGGGAAGACACTCTATGAGGTGGATTGATTCAGTGACTGGGGTAATCGGGATGGGTGTGTGGGAGGCAGTGCGATTGGCACAGGATAGAGCAGGGTTTAGGGCTGTTATACATAGGGTTGCTATGAGTCGCAAGCGACTGGACAGCACATAACAACAACAACAACATATTCCAACAGCAGCAATTCATAGTTGTACTAAATTTGAGAATATTTGTGCTGAAAATGCTTCTGTGTGGTTCTGATATGGATCAAAATTTGAAAATAAGTCATCAATACCAGAACTTTTTAGGAAATGGAGGCACAGTGAACATGGTGTTGTTCTTAAGAGCTGTCAAGTCAATTAGGATGTATAGCGACCCTAGGAACCATGGTTAAATCATACCTTATCTTGTGCCATCCTTATACTCTCTGACACGCTTAAGTAAATATATGTAATTCTCTCTTGTTTCTCACTTACGTGTAGAATTGACAAAGTCAACATGTGAAGTTTGTACCTTTTGAGCTCTGGTGGCCTAGTGGCAAGAAGCTGTGCTGTAGAATATGGTTTGAGGCCACCAGCTGTGTTCCACAGGAGAAGAATGGGCAGTCTCCTGCCCTGTGATTACTGCCTCTGAAAACTCACCAGAGGGTCATCTATGGATCAGGTATGACTCCATAGTACAAAACAACAACAACTCTCTCTATATATGTATGTATATATGTGTATATATTTATACATATGTTGAATGAACATAGGTGTCATCAAACTTTTCAAACAGTAGGGCTAAAGAATTAGTCTTTGGATGTATTGAAATAATCTTGTTGGGATTTCAGTGCAGCTTCTTGCCACTAGGCCACAATACTCCTGAAATATGCTGAAATAGACATAAATGACTTCATTTAAAAATACAAACACTTTACTTACTAGAGGAAAAGGATATATCATCTGATTTTAAAACTCCAGAAAAGTTTATAAATAAACTAAGAAAAGGTTCTCGCTGGCGGGCAGCCGCGCTGTGGGCAGCCGGACAGCGGGCGCCCTCCAGCCCGGCCCTCTCACGCCCTTCCTTCCGTGCCCTCCTTCCTCCCTCATGCTCTCTCACTGTGACCGCACAGTGGACTGGAGGTTGAGCTCCATGGGCTTGGTGGCGGGGCAGGGGCCACTGCATCGCCTCTTCCCTGGGCCCCATTCCCTCCCACCCCCCACCCCCGCCTGGCCTCCACCTGCAGGGCTTTGCTCGGGAAGAGGGGGGAGGCGGTGAGTGGCAGAGCGCAGCAGAGCTGGGATGGTGGTGGAGGTAGTGGTGGTGGCCTTTGATAGATAAAAGAGTGACCCTTCCCTCCCTACACACACACACACACACACACACACACACACACACCCTCCCCCTCAGGTTGACCTTCCTGAGGAGCCTGCCTGGCCTCACTGTGGCGGCAGGTGGCTGAGGTGCCCCGCGGCGAGTGTGGGCGGGGCTGCTGCGGGTGTAGGCCTAGCTCCAGGGAGACTGGCTTGGCTCCAGAGCGAGGCCGGCCACCATGGAAGACAGACGCCTTTCCAGCGGCTCCCGGCAGCGAGCTCAAGGACAGCGAAAGAAGACGGTGTGGACACAGAGCCAGCTGGCCGTCCTGAGGGCGGCATTCGCAGAGAGCCCCTATCCGGGCATAGCGAGCCGAGAGCGGCTGGCCGAGAAGACGGGGCCCAGGAGTCACGGATCCACGTCTGGTTCAAGAATGAGCAGCGATGCAAACGGGCGGCCGAGAGCCCAGCCCTGGCAAGCGCAGGGGAGCCGGCGGCAGGGCGGCCCGAGGAGGCAGCCCTCCTCGCAGGCGGACGGCCATCACAGCCGCTCAGAGCAGGGTGCTGGCGGAAGCCTTTGGCGAGAACCCGTTGCCGGGCTTCGTGGCCAGGCACGAGCTGGTGCGATGCACGGGCCTCCCGGAGGGGTGCGTGCAGGTGTGGTTCCAGAACCGCAGAGCACACAGCAAGGCGGGCCGGCTCCTGGGGTGGTATCGGCGGAGCCCGGCCCTCGGCCCGCAGACCCCTGCCTGGCGCTCCCGCGGCGGCATGCCGGGAGACGGGCCAGAGCCCAGGCCCCCTCCAGGCTGGCCTTGGCCATGGCGCACCGCCCTGCGCTCTCTCGGCCCTGGTGGCCGAGTCGCTGCGTGTCTGGAGGCAGCCAGGGTCCCGGCTGGCCAGGCCCCACTAGGTGTGGCTCAGCCACTCGAGCAGAGTCCCTGGGTCCAGGGGCCGGCTGGCAGCGCCCTGCCCATGCCAGCCAGCGGGTCCCCGCTGCCCGGCTAGCCCCGAGAGGCCGGCAGGAGCCGGCAGGAAACCCAGTCACTGTGCTCCGGTGGATGCCAGCAGGCTCCATCCTGGGGAGCGCCCTCCCTTCCCGGCCCGGGTCAGCATGGGCCGGCCACTGCCGGCCTTGCGCTTCCTGTCCCCGCCAGCTGGGCCCTCTCCGCAGCCCCCCTCAGCGATGCCGAGTACCAAGCCATGCTCGACACGCTCCAGCAGGGCTCTCCCACGCGGCCTTCCCTGGTGCGATGGCTCGAGCAATGCGAAGCCGCCCAGAGCCTCCCTGGCGCCCAGGGCCTGGCCGCAGAGGCACTGCAAGCGCACCAGCACTTGGTGGCTGCTGCCTTCGGCCTCGAGGAACCCCAAGACCAGCCGCGGGAGGCCGCACCGCTGCCCAACGGCGCGTGCCCACGCCCCTGGCCCCCGGGGCTCGCAGGACAGGGCCGCGAGGGACTCCCGCAAGGGGGTAAAGAAGCTGGAAACCCAGGCCTCCCGCCAGGGAACAACCTGGCAGGGCCCCTTTGGAATCACCGAGCAGAGGGACGCCGCCCCCGGCATCTGAACCTCATTCAAGCTGTGTTTCTGCTCGCTCC